CCCTCATAGCCTGTAGGAGATGAACATCACTGCTGGAGACATAGTAAGTGGCCAGTAAATGTCATCTGTCACCAGTGTTACTATCCTTGCCCCGAGTTTATTATCCTTGTCCCGATTTTGCATCCAATTCTGAGTTGGAGAGAAATCAACTTACCCAAGGGCTCAAAGCTGGAACCAGAGTGCTGCAGACCTAAGCCCCAGACCAGGAACACCCCCACAGACACCCAGCCCCCCCCATCTGCATAAACACGGTCACTTCTTTTTAGGGGAAAGTCACAGCTTGGGGCTCAAGTGTGTTACGGCTGCGCTGAGGGGAGAAGACTTAGCAGGGGGGCCTGTCAACCCCCTACCCTGGTGTGTGAAGCTCTGGGCCTGGTTCTGATGCTCTGTGGTGTCTGGAGGTCTAAGTCCTGGACTGGCTCCACCAGGCTGTGCTGTGTCTCTGGGTGGCACCTCAGTGTTCGACCAGCTCCATCCTGGGAGGGTTACCTTCATCTCTCCTCAAACCCTGCCTCTTTGGAGGAGGGTTTGAGGGGCCATGTTGGAAAGGAGCATAGTACTTTCTGACTCCAAGGAAGGGAGGCAGCCAGCCGTCCAGGCTCTTGAGTAGGGGGGAACCCTGGCTGGGCAGGCCTCGGCAGGAAATGATGACCACGCCCTCCCCTTCCTGCCTTAGCCTGTCCAAGTCCCTCCCATCTGCAGAGGAGGCCTGGGGGAGGAAGCGGGAATGTAGCATCTACTGCTTTGCACTTGGAAGAATCAGGATTTGAATCTCTTTCTGGCTGTCATCTATTTTGTCATCTGGAGCCATCCACTAGTTCCTGAGCTTCTGTGGTCTCTCTTGTGGACATCTGTGTCTTTGATTATTGAGCAATCATTGGGGATCCTGTGTTGGTATTTGCATTGCATGAACCAAACTTAATGTGAAATTAGAATGTGATCCCAGGATTGCCCCTTGATGGCTGTGTGACACTGGATGAGTCATATTAACTCGCACCTCAGTTTCCTCATTTGCAAAATGGGGCAAACACAAGTACCTAACTCTTAGGTCATTGTGAGATGATTAGGATGGGACTTGCCCAAACTTTGCAGGAGACCCTAGGACCGCATTTCTCCACAGACCCTCACAGCAGATGCCAGGGCACAGGTGGGTCATCCCTACCTGTGGTTTCTGAAGCCCATAGGGCCACACTTCTGGGTTCTGTGGCAAGGGCAGTCACTTCCTGACTCTGAACCACTCTCCTCTCTGTAAGATGAAAAGTAAACAGTACCTGTCTTCAAAGGGGTTGGGATGTGATGAGAATGAGGCACACAGTAGGTGTGCAGGCCACATCCCCACTTTGGGGTTACAAAGCGTAAGACTCATCAGTGAACCTAGGGGGGTTTTGGAAGAAAAGCGCAGATTTCTGGCTTCTCTTGAAAAACTGTGAAATCTGGTAAAACTGTGCGCCCCTTCCCACTTGCTCCAGAATGTTTCTGCATGTGCCAGGAAGGTTTTTCAAGTTAGGGGGAGATGTGTTATTGGCCTCCAGCCCTGTGGGGAACCCCGAGGCACTGTGGGGATTTACTGAGGGCTTCCTTGGGGCCAGGCCCAGGCTAAGGGAAGTAAGGGTCATGCCTGAGAGAAAACAGGGCAAGGATTTCCTGGCCCTTGTAGGATCAGGGGCAAACCCAGAGCCCCTTCCTTGGGCATCCACCATCCAGTGTGAGCCAGGCCCTGGAATGGGTGTTGTGGGCCCTGCTGAGAGCAGGGGGCAGCAGTCACATGGAGGTAGCCGTCAGCTGTTGTGATGCAATATGAAAATTCTACTGTATTGAGGAAGCTGGAGTAGGCCCACAGGTCAGGGAAGGTTCAGAAGGGTGGTCTTTGAGCTAAGGATTTTACCAGAGGTGAGTAGGGGGTGTTGAGGACATATTAGGCAGAGAGAATGGCACAGAGTCTCTTGGTGGCTGAAAAATAATTGGCTTGTGGCTGGAGGGTCACTTTCTGGGATGTGGTTAAGGTATTCTCACTGTGTGGCCTTGGACAAATAACTCCATGAGGATCCTTTACTGAGGATCCTTATCAGTAAAATGAGGCTTGGTTACCATTATGATGTCTAACTTCAAGTGACGGCTGGCTATCAGTGCACTTAAAAATGCTGAATCCCCTCAGTAAGGAGGAGGATTATTGAGTGAGATATGCAGCGATTGTGACAGGGCCATGTGCAAATCAATGGCATGAGGTCAAGGTTGAGGTGCATCTAGCCTACCCTGCATTCAGGGGTGGGGAGTTCAGTTCAAGCTGGAGGCATCACAAACATCTTCCTGTAAGAAGTGAGATGGGAGCAGAGCCTCAAAAGGCAGAAAAGGGGAATTAATTAGTAGAAAGGAAGAGAGAGGACATCCCAGGTAGGCAGCCCAACCTGAACAAAGGCAGGAAGGTGGCAGGTAGGGAAGGCCAGAGGGCACACCACCATGGTTGTGGGAGAGGCGGTGGAGAGAGCTGAGCCTGAAAAGTTCGGGTGGTGACATCTGTAGCACTACATTATGAACTTGATCTTGTGTTTCTTAGATATCTGCAAACAGCCTGTTCAGTAATGTCTTCAGTCATTGTGTTGCTGGCTGCACATCCACAGTAATACTGATTGTTGCTAGTCTAAACAACATTGTGATCAGCAGGTCTGCGCTCAGCCAGTGGGCGCACCGGCCATCCCTATATAGGATCCGAACCCGCGGTGGGAGCGCTGCTGCGCTCCCAGCGCTGCACTCTCCCGAGTGCGCCAGGCTTGGCCCCCCAAACTTCCTTCTAGATCGTTTCCATTGGATACTTTTCCTAAAGGGGGATTTCTGACTCTAAGGGAACAGAAGGCTTTTTTGGTTAAAAGGCTTAAAATGTACTCTTTTATAGTAATTTTCTTTTGTTGTTGTTGTTGTTGTTGTTGTTGTTGTTTTAACATTTACTTGTACATTTTGGGGGGGTACTGTGTGTTGTTTCAATGCATGCTGATTCACTTAGGGTAATAGCATAGTTTTGTACCAGTTAGTCCACCACTTCTTCCCCCACATAGTAATTTTCTTTAAATTTTTCAGTAGGTCATACTGTTTAGGGTTTTTAAAAAGAAGCAGGGGTTGGCTGGTTAGCTCACTTAGTGAGAGCACAGTGCTGATAACACCAAGGCACCAAGGTCAAGGATTCAGATCCTGTATTGGCCATCTGTCAAAATAAAAAGAGCAAATGTACAATATCATATACAATAAAAAGTCTATCATCCTGACCGAGTTCTCCCTTACAGTTTTCCCTGAGGACAGTTGTTAATCAGTTTCCTGAATATCCTTCCCGAAACATTCTATGCAGATGTGGTAATATATCCAATTTAAAAAATTGATACATAGTGGTACACCCCGTTCAGCATCTTGGTTTTAATTCTTACTTTTAAATTTGGGATTAAGAAATATATCAAAGCATAGAAAATGAGCCCCCTTCCCCTCAGTAGCCCACCACACGTTTAACATTTGTTTACATTTTGCACTGGTGCCTTGTTTTGGGCTGCCTTCGAGGTAGCCCCACGTCAGCGTCAGCGTAGCTTTAGCTGCCTCTGTGGTAGCAGCTAGGAGTCTAGTTACTAATTATATGGACGCACCCACCATTCTTTATTAGGCCTGTCCCCAGCTCTTGGATATCTAGGGTATTGATAACTTTTTGCTTATATAATCTATGTGGAGGTAATACCCTACCCTGTATAATATCTGCCCGGGGAGGCATCGAGGCAAAGGAGAATGAGGCTCGGCTTTGGCTCGGGTTCATAGTCCTCTGTCGCCACATTTCCAAGCTTATGTGACTTGGGGTGAGTGAAGGCCCCCTTGATCCTCACTTTCCCCATCTGTAAAATGGATTAGCTGTAGTAATACCGCCGTCTCGTAGCTGCTGGGAGAAGTAGAAAACTAAAGTATAGAGGCTTCATTGGGCTTAGTTGCTCTATTCCCCTGCGTAGGGAGCTGTTCATGGGGACACCAAACTCTCCCTTGAGCAACTAGATCGCCCCGCGACCGCAGGTTCCTCGCCCTTCTCCGCGGCCACCCTGGGGCGGGGCGGTTAAATGTGTCTGTGTCGTCACCGTGAACAGGACCAATCCCTCTGCCCTGCAGACGTTAGCTCATTTGCATGGCCCGCCCGCCATTGGTGTGTTGGGCAATCCAGGCCGTCCCAGCTTTTTAAAGACGCCGCGTACTATAAACAAGGAGATGTGGGGCGGCCGGGCCGTGATGTCATCGGGGTGCTGCAGCTCTTGGAGGTGACGTCATCTCCGGGAATGTTGCCTGCCCAGAGCTGTTAGGGCCATCCTAACCATTCGGGCAGGCTTACGAGGCCGCCCTGTCCTGTCGGAGGTCAGCCTCATTGCACTTCAGTGTACCTGGAGGCGCCCCGTCCCCGGGGGGGGACCATGACACAGTAAGTCCCGGCTCTACCGGCAGGACCCATATCTTCTGCAGGGAAACTGAACCTCAGAGGCGCTAGTAGTTCTCAAATTTGCATAGCAATTTCGAGTTGCAGCCGATCGATCTTGTCCACCCCGGGGTCTCCCCATCTTTAGGTCAGTCCATATGTCCCCGCCCCTTGTCTTTGACTAGACTGCGGCACTTTAAGTGTAAAGGTGGGGGCCAGGAGGAGGTTTTAAAAAAAAAAAAAAGTCTTTCAAGATGGCGGCCCAGTAATCACGTGCGTGGCCGTGGCGGCTCATTGGCTCTCGGGGCCCCCGTGGGGCGGAGCTCTTGGCGCGGGGCGGGGCCGCCTTGGGCTTGCCTCCTGCTACTGTTTGCCACAGCCTCCCGGCGCGCCCCCGCGAGCCCCCCTCCCGCCTGGCGCGCGACCCCGCCGCTTCGAATGTTGTGAATCAAATGTGGGGTTTGTTACATTCCGCTGCCGCCGTGGACAGTTCTTAAAGGGCCAGCCGCCTGCAGCCGCGCAAACCGAGCTGCGTCCTGCGCCGCCTTCCTTTTCCCCAGGGCCTGGGCCGAGAGAGACTGGCCGCGCGTGGGCCTCGCGAAGCAGACGCCGTCGGGCGGACAACAAAGAGAGAGGGCCCCGGAAGGAGCCGGGCTGCCCCCGGACCGGGGGGTGGGGAGGGGAGCACATTGTTCGGAAGGGCGGGGCTCTTAAAGGGTCCAGGCAGCGCCCCCCCGCCCCCCTGCTCAGCTTGGCCGTCCTAGATCGGGAACAAAGGAGTCAACTTGTGGCCGGGAGGCCGAAGGTGAGTCGGGGCCAGGGTCCCCAACTCCCTATTCTCGCACCCCAGAAATTCCTGTTCCCCTCCCCTGGGAATGGGGGCTGTGATTTAGTTGGCTCTGCAGGGGTTAATCACGGGCGGTCCGGCCTGGGGGCGGCGAGACCCCTGGAATCAGGAAATTCCCCCCCCCCCCCCCAGCGCCCCTCAAGGCCGGGCCGGGTCTCCCCTCTCGGGAGGCTGAGCGCTGCGGTTGGAGAGGAAGGAGCCGCCCCCTCCCTCTGTGGCCGCCACTTCCTTTGTTGTTGCTTTTGTCTCACGCCGAGCACATGGTCCGGGATCCTGGGCTCTTAAAGTCACAGCGCTCCGGCCCCGGCGCTGCAGTCTGGCCTCCCGCTCCCAGTGTCCCTCCGAGCGCCGTACAAATGAGTGGGAGGGGCACGGGAGGGATCCCTCTCGGAACAGGTGTCCACGTCTCGGCCCATCCCCATCCCTGGGGAGGAGGGGCTGGGGAAGCTTCTTGGAGCTCCACAACCTGTCCGGCGGTGTTGGTGAGGAGCCTGTCCTTCAGGGACACTGGTTTCCCCCTCCACTAGTGTGACCCCTGGTTTCTTGCTGCTTGTCTTTTCTGGTTTTGTTTGGGCGCTCTGGGTAGAAGAGATTAACACCCCCATTTTACAGTTGTGGCCGTCGAGGCTCACAGAAGCGAAGAGATTTCTTTGACCAAGGTCACACGGAGTCTGGGCTGGCTCAGGACTCCTCGTTCCAAATCTGGAGGTCCGTCCCTCAAACGCCTCAAGGAACCACACTTTGCCGAGTTCCGCTTGGGCTGGACCGAGCCTGCCTCACTGGGGTGGGGTGGGGGGAGTAGGGAGGGGTGTTTCTCTTCCTCCCTGGGTCTGCTTATGCTCTCAGGTTCTGACTTTGCTTATCTGCAAAAGTGAGTACCTCTTCTCGCTAACAGACCCCAGGACCAAATGACATGGTAGGGGCTCCCTAGACCAGGGTAAGGGGAGCTGCTTGGGGCACTGGACTCAAGGAGGTGGCTGCCTGAGGGTTGCGGGGGTAGGTTGGTGCCTACCTCCAGGCAAAATTGGGTTTAACGATGGTACTCTCAAGACCCATTCACACAGACTTCATTGAAAGCAGAGCACAGAAGAGATGTGGAAAGACAGAGCAATGAGGGGGTGGCCACCTGGCCACCCTTGCTGTTTGACCTTGAGCAAGTTGCTAGCTCCAGCTCTGGGCCTTGCTTTTCTCTGCACAGAGCTAATCACATGAGCCTGAAAGAGAATGCTCTCCCTACCTTTGTTATGTCTTGGAATAGAGAGTTGGGATTAGGTGGTTCTTTTCCCTGGTCTACTGATGCCAATGAGAGTGTTAGGGGTTGGGAAAGTCTGGACTGGTTCTGTTTCTCTCTGGCTTTGTGGCCTAGAGCAAGTTACTTCCTTTCTGTGGGCCTCGGTTTTCTCACCTGTGAAGTTGGTGTGTCCCCTCTATGCCACCTCTGTTTCTGGCAGGACTTAAAGAACCGGGATTGGTTAGAGCATGGTGTTATAACACCAAGGTCAAGCGTTTGCATCCCCATACCGGCCAGCCTAAAAAACAAAAAGACAAACTAAAAAACAAAAGACAAACAAGAACCAGGAGCCCCTCCCTTGCCAACTGGGGTTTTCTCCTAGGGCAGCATATTTCTGTGCTGCCTCCTGCGGAGCTTGAAGTGGCACCCTATTCCTGCTTGTGGGTTGGGAATAGAGGTCAGCATATCGCATTTTCTTTTTCTTTTTTAAAAGATGATCAGTAAGGGGATCTTAACCCTTCACTTGGTGTTGTCAGTACCACGCTCTCCCAAGTGACCTAACCGGCCATCCCTATATAGGGATCTAAACCCGTGGCCTTGGTGTTATCAGCACCACACTCTCCCAAGTGAGCCACGAGCCGGCCCCAGCATATCATATTTTCTAGTAATGATCGTTCACACTCAAGCTGAGTTCAGACTCTACAAATTGCGTTTGCTTTTGCCTTGGAGCAATCCTTGATGATGCACTGCAAAGTAGTTGTTGGGCTGTTCCCTTTTTACAGATGAGGAAGCTGAGAGTGAGAGGGGAAGCCGTGTGCTCAAGATCTTCAGCCAAGACTGGCCAGTCGGGGATGTCATGTGTGGGACTGTGAGGGTTGATGCTGTCACCTTTGGTACCATCACCCATGCTGGAGGCCCTTCTGTCTGCTGCTTTGGTTTCTCAGCTCCTGACCATCTTCCTTTCCCTGAGGAATGGGTACCTTTGTAGGTGGCTGCCCACAGGCCTGGGCCACTGGGATCAGTTCCCTTGAGCCTTGGCACTGCCCAGCCAATTAGCAAGACAGCCTGGCACAACAGGAGCAGTTGAGGCTACTGGCTGGGTGGTTAATCATGGGTGCTCTATGGTCAGGCTGCCTGGGTCATGTCCAGTGCACTCAAATTCCAGCTGGCTGGCCTTGGACCTCACGTCTCTGAACCTTAGTTTTCTTAATATTCCTGTTCTTCATTGGCAGAACCGTGGGTTCCCAGGATCTCTGAAGTCAGCTGGGAGAGGTTCCCAAACCTGGCTGTACTGTAAAAGCTGCTGGGGAGGACTGGCCCGTTGGCTCAGTTGGTTAGAGTGCAGTGCTGATAACACCAAGATCCAGGGTTGGATCTGTACCAGCCAGCCGTCAAAAACAAAGAATTTAGAAACTTTTGGGGAATTTGATAAAAGTCTAGGTGCCCTTATTCCCCAACCCTACAGGTTCTGATCCAGAAGGTCTGAGGTAGGCCTGGAGTCTGTCGTTTTGGGGGGATTTCCTCCGAGTCTGTCTTGTCTCTTACTTGCTTGGCTGGATTGTCAGCAGAAATTGCAGAGACTGTGTGTTTACACACATGTGTAAAGATGTGCACTTGGCCCATGGCAGGATCACAACCCAGTCACCTAGGGTGGGCAGGCAGAGGATGGGCCTGGATGGCAGAGAATGGACCTGGAGAGAAAGCTCATGCTCTGAATGAGAGGGGCAACAGAAATGAGGCCCAGTGAGACCAGATTTTCCACTTTATTCCCCTTCCTGCGAGAGGCCAGGTTTTTCTGTAATCTTGCAATTTTTAATCATTGGCACTAACGTCATCGCTGCCAGTCTGTGTGGCCTTGAACCTGTGTGATGGGCTCTCTTTGGTGCAGTTTAAAGTGGAGAAAATACGCCCATGCAGGCGTATGTGTTTTGGAAATTAGGGCCCAAGCTTGAAAAGCCTGGCACAGAGGAAATGGTTCTTGCCACTGCTGGCAGGAAGGAACAAGGACTTGAGCTGACAGTTCCAGTGGCTCCCTGGCTGTGTCAGCAGGGAGGCAACATTTAAAGCTGGGTATCAAGGATGCATAGGAGTTTTGGTTAGATGGAGAAAGGGTGGAGGGGGCCTCCCCATGGCAGGACCAGCAAAAGGGTTGGTCCTGTTTGATGTACCCTTCAACTTGGCAGGGCCTGACAGGTTACAGAGCTTTCCCTGCCAGGGCCTCATCCCAGACTCTGGAGTTAGTGAATGGAAGCCTAGGGTTGAGCCAGGTGCCCCAACTTCCCACAACTGGATCCCCAGCTCTGACCTGAGGGAGGAGACTCTGCCCAAACCCATTTGTATTCAACTTCCTCTTAGGTTCTTGCTTCTCCTTTTTTTTTTTCCTAGCAGGCCTCATGTCCCTCTTTGGGGGCTATGTTGGGGCCCCTAGAGGAAGGGCCGGCTTCCTTTATCACCTCCTGTGAAGCCTTGGGCTGGTCTTCCTCCTCATTGGCAGCAAGATGCAGGAAGAGGCTTGTAGTCTGCCCACCTTCCAGCTTTCACACTTACTGTGGGGTCTTCGGCAAATCTCTTCCTCTTGCGCCTCAATTTTCTCCTCTGTAAAATGGGCTAAAAGTACCTTCCTTGCACAACAGATGAAGTCACACTTAGGTAGGCACTTTGGAAATGGGTTAAGGAAAGAAAGAATACTGTTTTGCCTTGGACTAGAAGCCCCCGAGAGCAGGAACCAGGTCAGAACCTCTTGAGCCTGGCAACAGTGGGGAGAGAACTGGGTCTCAGACCTGTTTGGAATCCCTCTGGAGTCAACCAGATAGAAGGGAGGAAATTGAAGTAGTCCTCCCAGGAACCCCCAGCTGCTTGGAGGCCAAATCGTAGCCCCAGCACAAGGCAGAGGAAGGTCCTTGCCCCAACCCCCGTACCAGGACAGGGTTCCCTGGATACTCTCTGTACCCCCCACCACCACAAGCAGGAGTCTTACCAGAGCCAACTGGCCCAGAAGCTGCTGGCCAGCTCTCTGAACTCGCCACAATTGTGAGGGGAACTTGATCCCATTTCACAGAGCAGAAAGCTGAGTTGTGGGCTCCCTGCAGGCTGAGCTTGTCCCTGGTTTGTGAGCGCTGGACCCCAGGGGCATGGCAAACATCAGTGGCCCCTGGAATCACACTGTAGGAGTTTGATTCTTTCTCCCCAACACCTAATGGAGCAAGTGACTGGACTTCTCTCTGCCTCAGTCTCTTTGTCTGCTTTCCTCCTAGGGTTGTGAGGCCCCGGCCCAGCTGCTCCACCCCCTTGCCCCCCTGATGCAACCATGGGCTCTGGCAGCGACTAGGTGGCCACGCTCTGTCCCGGTGGGCCAGCGGCGATTCTCTGCAGGACCCAGTAGCACTCCGGGTCAGCTCTGGGGAAGGTAGGAAGGAGCCTTTCAGTCCTGGTGCTTGGACTGCCAGCTTGGCTGGGGCACAGGGGCTGGGAGGGGCTGGGCACAAGGCCCTGAGCTATCTTCCCTCCCTAGCGGGGGTAGTGACCCTGGCTTCGCTTCCTGCTCTGTGATGAGTGGCCCCTCCTCAGTTCTACCGGGGCCTCCTCTCTGTGGTGCAGCCCCAGCCACGAGGGCCTCCTGGCCAGCGCACCTGCCCAGGATGAGCGCTTACCCTCCCAGCAGCCGCTGCCCCGACCACCACACCTCCCTGTAGAGGAGCACCGAGCCTCGGCTCCTGCCGGCGGGAGCCCCCGAATGCTGCACCCAGCTACTCAGCAGAGCCCGTTCATGGTTGATCTCCATGAGCAGGTATGCAGAACACCTCCCCCCATCCTTGCTGCCCCGTTACTTCTGGCAAGCCAATCTCAGAAGCTAAGACAACAAAACCCTGATTTCACCTTGTGTAACTCATTGCATGTTCAAGGGAGGCATTATTAGCCCTGTTTAACGGGTAGGTAAACTGAGGCCCAGAGAAGGGGAAGGCCATCCCTGGGGCCACACAGTGGATGACTGGCAGAACTGGAAGCCCCTCCCAGCTTCCCAGAATGTTCTCTCTCTGCCCTGGGGGGCCTGGCACAGGGGGACAGTCTGGTCTATACCTAGGTAGGCCCCGCAACTGGAGAAGGGCAGGGAGCTGGGCCTGGCAGGACTTTTTCTCCTGAGGGTAGCCCACATGGCTAAGCTTCTTCCCTACAGTTGCCTGGCTCTCTCCACCCACAGGTGCACCAGGGACCCGTCCCTCTATCCTACACAGTCACCACAGTGACGACCCAAGGCTTCCCCTTGCCTACAGGCCAACACATCCCTGGCTGCAGTGCCCAGCAGCTCCCAGCATGCTCCGTGATGTTCAGTGGGCAGCACTACCCCCTCTGCTGCCTCCCACCCCCGGTGAGTGAGTGCCTCCACCTCCTGCCCTACCCACAGCTGCAAGCCCCAGGCATAGACCAGCAGCTCTCTGTCACAGCAGGACAACTCAGCAGGCAAAGGGCAGCCTTGAACTGTGCTGAGCTAGTGGTGCCCATCAGGCTGTCAAGAGTGCCTACCTGGCCTCCAGGCCATAGCCCTCCCCAGAAAAGCGTATGTGTGTTCACATACAGTGGTGGAGCACTTCAGGGTCCAGGGACCTCTCTGCACTCCAGTGCCTGCCTTATAAATTGTCTTAGGCCCTGGAGTTGAGGCTATGAGCCTTAAGAGTGTCCTGCCTGGGTGGCCTAGGGCAGGGATGGGACTTCCAGAGGGTATCTTGTGCAGACCCTGGAGCTGCTGGATATGTGTATGCTGAATGGAATGGCCCCTGCTCTCATCACAAGCATAGGCTCAGCCCAGAGCCCAGAAGAATGTTCTCCAGCCCCCCGCCCCCTCTCTCGGCAGCTGATCCAGGCATGCACCATGCAGCAGCTCCCTGTGCCCTATCAGGCCTACCCCCACCTCATCTCCAGTGACCACTACATCCTGCACCCCCCACCGCCAGCTCCACCCCCCCAGCCTACCCACATGGCGCCTCTTGGGCAGTTTGTATCGCTGCAGACCCAGCACCCACGTATGGTGAGTAAGGGGGGTGGGTCTGATGCTAGAGGAGACTGGAATGGGGGGAGGTGAGGTGGGGACTTCCCTTGTCACTGACTGTGGCTGACCCAGTTCTACTCTTTCAGCCCCTACAGCGGCTTGACAATGACGTGGACCTGCGGGGGGACCAGCACCCTCTGGGTAGTTTCACCTATTCCTCCTCTGCTCCTGGCCCAACCCTGTCCACCTCAGTGCCCCTGCACTACTTGCCCCACGATCCTCTGCACCAGGAGCTGTCTTTCGGTGTGGTGAGTGCTGCCCCTTCACCCCCCTCGCAGGTTCTAGGGAGATCGGGAGGCCGGCCTGCTGGGCTGACCTGCACCTGGCCTCCTCTCACAGCCATATTCGCACATGATGCCGCGGAGACTGAGCACCCAGAGATACCGCCTGCAACAACCGCTGCCCCCCCCA